AGAAAAAACACAAGATTTCGCTTGTATTTCACTAGAAATCAAAGAAAATAGAAAAGATACAATTGATCCTCAATTCGAGAGGAGGATCGAACTCTCCCAAATCTCTAGACGCCGCTAGAGCCCAAAGAAAACCTAAATCTACGAGATCTCAAATTTCAGCCAAATTCAAGATGCTCAAAACCTAGGAAAATCTACTATTTAATGCATACAATTTAAAAGGAATTTCCTAAACAATCCCTACAATCAATTTCCCTCCTAAAATCCATTCAAAAACCTTCCAAAAATCGTCCCGCAAGGCGTGCGTCACGCGCGGCTTCTGCCCAGGCGGAAGCTTTCTCCGCCTGTTCGCGATATTCTCCCGTGAACCGGTCCCGCCTGGACCGGCTGGACCGGTCCAGTGGACCGGTCTAACAAAGGCTAGATTGTTTGAAATTTTGAACAATTTATTAGGTCTCTAAATGACATCACCATGTAATAAATTACTATGTTTATCTATGATTTGCTTACTGCCATAACTATTCCCAATACATTTTGGTTAAGGAGATGTTACTTAATTATTTTCATGAAATGCAATAAATTATTTTCTTTTCTATATTTGTTAGGTGTTGCTCTTGTGATTTCCCAAATGCAATTATTTTGTACTCCTTTCCTGGATTTCTACCATATGTCCTTTAGCCAAGAATGGCAAAAATGTTAGGCATTTTCAAGGTGATATGACTTCCCAATGAGAATGGAGATGCTAGGTGTCACCCTAGTGCTCAATCGATAGAAGTAAGCTTGTAAATAAGTATAAGCTTTTTCACATAATATAAATGAATTTTAATTATGACGAATATTATTTTTAAGAGTATTAAATGATAAGCATTTGATCAAGCTCTATTGAATGAAATTATAAATTTTCAAGTTTCGTTGGATTCTAAATAGGAACTTAATGCTAGATTGATTATCCTAACCAAAGTATTGAATACTATGCTTAAATAAATAACTAAGTAATTATTTTAGAATGATAGCATACTTGTGATATTAAAAATGTACATATTTTAGAATGATAGCATACTTGTGATATTAAAAATGTTAGTTATAGCAAAGATGTGTTTTGCTTCAACAATTGTTGTGTTGAGGCAATTATTTTGCTTAGGCAATTCAAAGCAATTAAATAAGGATTGCAAACCGTGGCGATTTGTGATAGGTGAAACATGCATGGAGAAGATATAGACAAGGTTAACTTTGTGAAGGAAAAAAATATTAGATGATCTATGATGAGATTAGGGGTGTAAAAGAATCGAGTTGAGTTGAGTTGAGTATTTGGCTAATCAAGCTAAGCTTGTTTAACTCTAGCTAAGCTTGAATTTGTGCTCGGCTCGTTCGAAAATTGTTATGCTTGAGCTTTGGCTCGTTTAATCGAGTCAGTAAGAAAACTCAAACTTCACTCTTGAAATAATTAATTTTTTTTAGTATATATTTTATTATATTATTTTAAAATTATATTTAAATATATTTTAATTTAAGCGAGCGGCTCGACAAGCTTATGAGCTGAGCCTAGATGGAGCTCGAGCTCGTATAATATATAACCTCGACTATAAGCTCGAGCTTGAACTCGTGGCTCGATAAGCTCAACTCGTGAGCTCGTTAACAAGTCGAGTTTGAGCTATCTCACTTACACCCCTAGGTGGGATATACTATATTCTTGCTTTTACAGAGCCAATATATGATGGGTAAGAGTTGTTGATATTGACATGAAGGAAAGACCATGAGGACTCTCCATTTTACAAAATAGTGTATGATTTTCTCTTACAAAGAATAAGGTAAACAATCCTCTTCACTCTTTAACTCACTTTCTCAACCCAATGTAACTTTTTAAAATTTTCATTAATTTAACCTACCCAATTTTGTGACTGAGTCTTACTTGATGAATTCTTTTATAAGGTAATATAGATGCAATTGGCTAAGTAAAGCTCCAAATAGGGTTGCCACACATAAAGATATGAAAATATCTAACAAGAGAAATAAATGTTGGGCGACAATCTTTTCAAATATTGAAGAGAGATCAATGATTAATTTGGAGTTGGCCAACTTCTTTGGGTTTAATGGTGCTTTAGTTGATCATGACTTTACAGCTACTATTGGCACTACTGATGGAAGGGGTTGATGGATGGTATATGCTGCTAGTTCCCATGACTATAAAATTTAGCTTTTAAATTGTTAGCTCAACCATTTTCCTCTTCATGTTGCAAAAGAAATTTGAGTACTTGCTCTTTTATCAATTCAAAGAGGAACAAGTTCACCCCTTAACAGGTTGAAGATTGAGTATTTGTGCATACATATCTGTGGCTTTTATCTAGAAGGGAGCCAAATGTTTTTAAAGGAAAGACTAAGTTGTGAGATGCTAGTGGGGATACGTTAACTACAATAGATGACATTGGATTACTTAAAGTTGTTAATTTCCCTCTTGATGAGCTATCTTTGGAAAATGTATTTTTTTCTAGATGAAGGTAGAGGTATCATTGAAGTGAAAACAGGTAAAAAAAAATAGAAAAAAAAAATTGAAGTGAAAACAGGTGCTAGTGCTAATGATTATCATAGCTTGTTCTATGTTAACTCCAATTAATTGCAGAGGGCATTGATATTTTGTTTTTTGAGGTTTTATTTTGTTATTTTGTAATAATAAAATGTGAGAATTAAATGAGATTAATGAATGCTCATGCGACAAAGCATTTTTTTGTTATCAATAGTGTTTATTCTTCTTTTATCATTATAAAGTTTCCTATATGAAATATGATAATTGAACGGAATTAAGTGTACTTTATCTTGAGATGACTTTAGTAGAGATTAGTATAAATTATAGATTACATATTAATAGTTTATAATTTATAATAAAGTGTCCTTGTCATGTCATGTCCATCTTATAATTATGTTGTGTAACCGTGTCTGTCGTGTTCATGCGCTCATGTCCATGTCCATGCTTCATAGTTTACAAGATATGAATGGAGATTTCATAGGAAAATGGCATGGACATTTTGCTTGCTTTTTTTTTCTTAGTATCGTAGATTGAATATTTTGAAGATTTGGGTCAAGGATATTTGATCAAATTTTTGGCTATGATAAGCTTTAATACCTTTGGATCTAGTTTGACTACGGACAATATCACTTATTTATGTATTGCACTCATTTCAAAGTAGATCCAAGGGTTTTAAATTCTATTATAACCATTTTTTGTTAGGACATCCTAGCAGATTTTTTTTCCCTTTCCAAGAGAAAAGAGTGGTTGATTAAAAAGGTTTAGGGCTTCGTATTTTTGGAAAGATGTTCACAATTTTAGTGAGAACTTCAGAACTTAAATAACAAAGATATTTAAGAATGGGAGAACAATTTTTGGTTGCTTGTTTTTGACCTAACAATTTTTTTCTCCAAAACTATTTATTATTGCCACAGAATAAAACTCCCTCTATCGCAAGTAAGTGAGAAATTGGTTCCTGCGACATTAAATTTAGCGATTAATTTGTGCTATGAATCTTAGTGTTGGCCATCCTTGAAAATTTACTTTTAATTTTCAATTTAATCAACAGTATTAACAATGAGAAGATACAAAGGAGGTGAAATAGATCAAGAATATTGATTCCTTAAATATTTTATAATGTTGTAGATTAGTTCGTATTTTGGACTTGCCAAATCTTAAGCAACAGGTTTATATGATAGCTCATTGTTTCATTTTGTGAAATTTCTGTACCATCCCTTAATTTTCTCTTTGTAAAATGTATTTTTTTTCCGTCATTGAATGGGACTATTTGTTTTTCTAAAAAATGAATGTCATGTAAAATAGAATGCAGTATAAAAAGAATGCAATATATCTTAAATGTTTGAAGTTATTTGGATTAGTGTAAAACAGATGCACATTATTACTCATTTTGTTTGGTTTGAAGTTAAATGAATATAGTATAAACCAAAGCCCTACATGAGGTCCTGGTTGGGCTTCACCCACCCACGTCCACCCATGGTGACTTTCAAGATGTCGTACCCACCTATACCCATCCACTTTCTATGCTTTTTGAATGTAGTCTGCCACGGACTGATGGCCTTGAGGCTTGTTGCCCTTTGCTTTGATTGTAAACTTTCAAGTTGCATATCAGAATTTATCGTAGTCGCAGCTGATAAGAGCAACTCCACTACAACCTCCTTACAGAACAGCTAGCTGCCTTCAGCCACGTTCTCTGCTTTTAGCGAGTTCTGTCGCCACTACTTAAGCTGCGCTGTTATGTTACTTTATGCAACCATAAGAACAACGTAGTCTTTTTACTTTTATGCTCAATATTGCTATATATACCTTCACTGTAGCTACATTAAGACATATACAATGAGAATGAAGTGTTCTCTTGATCCACTGTCTCCTTCCTCTCGTTTCTCTGTGCTTGTTTTAATTGCATACACAGGTATTCTATACTGATGTTTCAACAGCAGCGTGGTTAAGTGCTGCATACTAAGTAGTGAGGATTACAGTAATATAAGATATAAGATGGTTAGTAATGTAAATCGATTTATCCTCCAATGTTGAGTACCCACCCATAAGGCCATGGGTGTACCCATATCCACCTATACCCATTGGGTCCACCCATACCCATTGGGTATGGGTGGGTACATGGGTGGGTGTGGAATGCAAGGCTTTGGTGTAAACCCCAATGACAATGGAGTGGTGATGGTGGCAGATGGGGGAGGTATGCGGCGACAATGGGCTGTGATGGTAGATACAGCTTGCGATGTATTTGGAATTTGGCCATAAATAGTCAAATTTTGAATACATAAAAGAATGAACATGATGTGAATTTGGAATTCATCAAAAAATTTCTTTGTATTCATTTTTCATCAAGCCACATACTGAAGTCTTAAAACCCTTGTATTTGGAGTACGTTACACTCGCTTTTCATCAAACTAAATAGTCCCGAGAAGATATTTTCTGCTCAACGATCATTTACCCTTTTGAACAAATAAAAAAGATTCATAAGTTCTTAAAGAAGTTATCGATGATAAGAAGTAATAGACTAAACTTCAATTATAGAAGCAATTTTTTTCTCAAAAATGTAAAAACGTAGAAGTACGTTGAACAAATATTTAAAATTTAGGGTATAAACTTTTGGTGATTTTATCATGGTTGATTTTTGTGATTTGAAGTCTTTATTTCCTAATTGGATGAGCATTCTACCTCCTCGGAGTAAACATCAACTGTCTCTATTTTAAGGAGTTGCAATTCTGTTGATGCAGGGGGTCAATGTGGAAGATGATACAAGAACAGTACATGACGAATCACTGCAGTTGATGAAGCATGAATTTTCTTGCTCTGGGCATGGAAAATTCAGTGGTATGGAGGATTTATGCCTTTTTCACTCCGAGTATCTTAAGTTTTGAAATGCAAACTGTAATTTTAGATAGTTTATTTGATCCCGTGCATTTTCATATAAATTTCTTGGATAGTTCTCTTTTCGCCCTTGTTATTTCTCCATCATGTGTGAAAAGCCTTGGTTTCATGTCAGTTGAATATTAGGTATCTTAGCGCAGCATATAAGAACTTGTAAAATAGCGCATCTTAAAATAAGAACAAGTTTTTCTTTGATTTTACTTTAGTTATTTGAAATTGATTATCTTATATCCTTTTTTATCCTGTCCTTTTATCAGAGTACAGTACCACAGAATCATCTGATGATGTTGAAAAGCAAGAACTTGAGGAACTTTCTGATGACGAAGGGCCATGTTTTTTTGATACGAAGGAATCTTTCAGCGACACGAATGTAATAGTTGCATCTTCAGTGAGAACCACAGATATTGCTGATGAGATTTGTAGTAGTAAAGATCAGTCAGATGGTAGAGATATGATGATACATGTTGAAACAGAACCTAAGCATTATCATAAGTTTCCACATGTTGAAAGGCGCGAGAAGATGCCGGATCCTGTTGAGAAAGAAAAGGGTGTAAGCCTTTGGTCTATGATCAAAGATAATATTGGTAAAGATCTCACGCGAGTATGCCTTCCTGTTTACTTCAATGAACCATTATCATCGCTGCAAAAGTGCTTTGAAGATTTGGAATACTCGGAACTTTTGGATAAAGCTTATGAATATGGAAAAATGGTAACAATCTGACTTCGAAGATTCTTGTTTTTCAGTATTTTCAACTTTCTGCCATCTCAAATATGATTTCATGCATGTTCTGGACTAGGCCTGCAGTTCAAAAAACAGAAACATATCAAATTTCCACTTTAAAATAATGGATTATTGCCTTTTTCGTCTAGCAAACATGGTTTTATCTAACATAATTTTATAAAAATTACAAGGTAGTATTGATTTCCATCATGTTCGCATTCTCATTTAACTCCTAGAGCATTTACTGTTCTCATTTAAAAATGCAGAATGTATAAGAACTATGATGATGATTGTTGTGTGGTGGTGATCTCCCTTAATATGGCATTTTTTAGTTTTAGTATTTCCATTCGTTCTGCTTCGTAATCATCTTTTAATCTCTAAGTAGTGTGATGTCAAATATTCTTGTTTTTAGGCATGTTTTGATTTTCCTATATTCCTCTTTCCATTTGAAGCTATTTGACTTATATTATGAAATTAGCTTTTAAAGATGATGGGATTTATTTGGCTGAGGCAGGGTTATTTTTTTCTTTTTTTAATTGGTTCAAACTTCCGGAGTCTTGAACATCTTCATGACAACTATCTACCAAAATCTTGTATGACACTTTCATTGTCTTTCGGTATAATTGTGAATTTTGTTGAATTATATACTCCTTTGCGATGTTGCCTTATTTGACATATCCTTAAACTAAAACTGTTTGCCGTTTGTATTTAGGGAAACAGTCTCATGAGAATTCTGAATGTAGCTGCCTTTGCAGTCTCTGGATATGCCTCTTCTGATGGTCGACTATGCAAACCATTCAATCCGTTGTTAGGAGAAACATATGAAGCTGATTATCCTGAAAAAGGAGTTCGCTTTTTCTCAGAGAAGGTATGTTTTCCTGATACTAACTTTCTTAAGGCGTGAGTAGATATGATTGGCACTTTCTATCATAACACTGTTTTATTTTCTTTCGCCCTCCGACAAAGAGCATCTTTGGTTTGCTAATATAAGAGGTTCAACACTGTGTTGTTTTGCCCTGATATTTCTTCCTCTATTTCAACCAGTGTAATTTAAGAAAAATTTAGCAAACAATATCAAGTTTTTTTATGCCCTAATTTAACTTTTTGCTATTGATTGTTCAATTGACACCATTAAAGTTACTCTGCAAGAAATTAATGTTAGGATGATAAGATGTTGATTACATTTTCTCTAGTATTGAGAAGACTAATCTTATAGAACAACATCAAGCCTTTACCCCATTACATGGGGTCGGCTACATAAATCTTTTTTCTCTATTATGTTTTGTTAAGAGTCAAATTCTCATTTAAATCTAATAAAAAAAATGTCATTTATAATATTTTTTTAATCTGGTCTCTTTAGGTCTACCTCTACCTCTCTTAACATAGGCCAAATATAATACATCTACCCTCCTAACTGGGTCATCAAAAGGCCGGCATTTTATGTGACCAAACCATATAAGGCGTCTTTCTTTAATCTTATTTGCCACTGAAGCTACTCCAACTTGTTCACGTATATGCTCGTTTTGCATCCTATCTCTAAAAGTAAAGACACTCATCCATCTGAGCATCTTCATTCCATCTCAGAAGAATAATCTTATGATGTTGCATTTTTCTGTTGCATCTTTGAGTTGTTTTGGAATTCTAGTCTGTCCCTCCTTCACAGCCCCTTGTCTACTCAGAAGTTATTTTTATTATCATAATTTTTTATGTTTTATAAAAGAGTGCTTTTGATGTAGCACAAGACATTTATGAAATGTAATTCTAGATTATTTTGTGAAGATTCTAGTATTTTATTTTTTTGGAATGTAATTTCAGTTTTTAATTAAGCAATTATATGGCAAGCTCCACCGCGCCCCCCCCCCCCCCCCCCCCCCACACCCAAACCCCCCCCTCCCCACACACACACACCAAAAAAAAGAGAATTTTAGGACTTATCTAGATTTAATTTTTTAATATTGTTTGAATTTTAAATTGTGATTATCTTGGCTATTAAAAAGTCAATAATTTCAATTCTTTCATAATTTTGCCGTACATGACTTCTGAGAACTCAATTAATGGATTCCTTCTTGTTGGCATGATTCTTAAAGCTGCAGTTCTTAGCATCCTTATTGTGACTTAGTATCTACTCTTTCCTCCCTCAAATTTCTCATCTCTTTACTTTTCTCAATTCTACAAGAAGAAATGATGCAATTTTTTATGAGAAAGATAAAATCAATCAAAGTGATTGTCAGGCTAATCAACAAACTGACATCATATTTATTTATTTTCTACATCAATTGGTATTTGAGATGAATTTCCTTAAGGTAATTCCATCTAAACTCTAGTTACCCATATCCTTTCATCGCTGCTGCATCTCTCATACCACCACGAAATTCTAGAAGAATATTGAGATAAAATAAAACTTTAACCCTAGCTTAAGTCTTAAATTTCTTATTCTATTACCATGTCATCTTCAAATCCAAGAAAATTGACTTGTATATGATGCAAGAGACCGATCATAATCATAGAATTATACCATGGGGCGACAAATTCTCTTTATTGGCATTGGAATTGTTGATACAAGATTAGGGACATGTTTCATCATAGACTCTTGAATATTTAATCTTGGAATCTTATCATTGATAGGATTTAGATATGAGTGAATTATATGCTGCACATCATTAGAGACCTTAGACATATACAATGGCAGAGCCAGGATTTTTAATCTAGGGGCGCATAATTTTGATTTTAAAAATGCCCTCAAGCTTTTTCATTTTAGCTTGAAATTAACATTATGGTTTTCATTTTAGCAAATGCCCCCCTGGCCCCCCTCCCCCCTAAATCCACCCATGGATATATATTATGCTAAGTGAGATTAGGAAAAGTATATTTTATATAATTGTCTCAGGATATACTAATGTTAATGCATCTGGTCATTATCAATATTTTTTATATGATCAAGTTTCTTATAAATAATATGAATATCATCATCAATATGGATCTTATCATGGTTATGCTTATGATTGTCTCATCCGTCTCTATCTAAAATCCTTTATCATGGTGGTGGAGCATATCATACACCATTTGCTTGGACTCTAAAGTTTCACCATGCCAATTTCAAAATTTCAACTGCTTTTGTCACCTCCGCTAGTTCCAAAACTCAATCCTCATATTGGATTGGCCATAAGGATGACTATTGTGATGATTGAGGTTTTCAAATGAGTTGGATGATGAGGATCAATTATAAATAATCGATCCTTTTATAGTTATTCTGTGCTTAATTTGAGGGTTTGCCGGATATTATTTCTGAGCTTAAATTTGAGTTTATGCTTGGGCCTTTTATAAGGCTTAGATATTTTCTACTGCTATTGCTGAAATGAAGTAGACTGATCCACAAATTCTCATATTTTTGCAAGTTTCTTCTCCTGATGTGCAGGTTGTATCATGAGTTTTAATATTGAATTCTTGTTTCTAGTGCTATCATGTTATATGGAATCTTCTATGGCATTATGTTAAGAAATATGGATGTGCATGATGACTTGAGGATTTAAAACCTCTAGATTCTACCTTTTACATTCAAACTGCATATATTGGAGACTCGAAAGATGTTCATGAACTTGTTCTAAGGTTTCCTTAATGAAACCCAACTTTGAAGAAATTACTTTTGCATGAGAATTGATTCAATACAAGACATAAAATAATATAGATTATTTTTAGAGTATTCTAAAATTTTAGGTATTTCTAGAATTTTATTTCATCTTAAAATGTATTTAAATAGGGATTTTTTTAATTTAGAATTGGATGATAGGATTTTTAGGACCGATCCAGATTTAAGTTAAAATTATAATCCTATTGTTATAAATAATCATTTATTGCTTGTAATTTGATGAATTTATCAAAGAGTTTTGAAAAGATTTTCTATCCTTTATTCGCAATCCTGTCATCTCTTTCTACTCCTAATCAATGTTATTCTCTCTCCATTCAAAAATCAAAAATTTCAGCTGATCTATCCATAATTTTGATGTTCATCGCTCACGAGAACCAAATTACTGGATTCTTGTTGCGTTTTTGTTGAGCCTGATTCCGCTCTCAAATTTCCTCTCTTGTCATTTCTCTAACATGTAAAGGAAGAATCAAGCAATTTTAAATATAAGGAATGTAAGATCAATCAAGGTGATTATCATCAAGGGCTCACCAACAAATTAGCATCAGGTCGTTCATTTTCTGCAACAAGGTGACCAAGTGCTCTTTGGGAGTTGAGGAAGCACCTGAAATTTTACCTGTATCTTCCTGGATAGGTTTTGTTACCTGTACTACTGTACTTGTTCAAAGATAACTGAATTGAGATAAGTATCACCCAACTCATTTAGTTGTAGTTCTTTTGTTAGAAGTCGTTGTTAGCCATAGATTTCTGCTGTCCATCAGCTTATAGCACAAAGGTGATAAGCTCTTTGGCATTCCATTTTAAGCGTGGTCAATTAGGTTTTAAAGTGGTGGAAAAACAGGCAGTTTAGTTTGATACAATCATACAAACTATATCACATTCACTTCGTGTGTTTTCATGCTTTTCTGGAACTTCAAGTTGTTTAAATGTAGAATAAGGGAAGAAAAAGAGGGGAAACAAACTTTTTAACTAATATGGTGGTACTGCATGGATTGTTTATTTACCATGATGCCTAGGATTTTTCAAAATCAACTTTTATCATCTGCTTTGCATGTGTCCATGGGTGGTTCGCATGGATTCTTTTTCCCAGCTTTCTTCCTGATTTTTATCAAATTGCGATCCAATTTTTGCCAATTTGTTCAGATTTGGCCCAACAATAGAACAACCTTTGCTGAGTTACCATTTACTCCTTAAGCTTGAGGTTTAAGCGTGGGGTCATATAATTTGATTTCTATTCTTAATGACTATTATCTAAGGTTAAAAGGCTTCCTTGACTTTACTCTTTGTTTAATCATACTAAGTGCTTAAAATTTAAAACCGTTTGCTGCAGCACAATCTGAAGTGCAGATTATTTTCATAAATAGCTGGATGATATAGGAAAATCATTTATTTTTATTTTTCTTAAAATGACTAAGAAGGAATGGCAGCATACTTTGTTCTTTAATCTAGACTAACATTTTCTCTTCTCTCTATTTTTTTATTGTTGTTTTGTGAACGTGCGACTTCCATTCGTGGCTCCAAGAAACTTTTACTGTTCAAATAATTGAGTCATTTTGTATTTTTCAATATGACCATGTTCATCATTTCTGGTTCATAGGTTAGCCATCACCCCATGCTGGTTGCTTGCCATTGTGAAGGGAATGGGTGGAAATTCTGGGGTGACAGCAACCTCAAGAGCAAATTTTGGGGGCAGTCGATTCAGCTCGATCCTGTAGGTGTTTTAACCCTTGAGTTTGATGATGGTGAAACATTTCAGTGGAGTAAAGTATGTGCTTATACTTTTAAGTGGACTCTTTGTTATATACATTGTTGGAGTTGGGGATCCTAACCTAACGTCTTATAAACCCAGGTCACAACAACTATTTACAATATCATTCTTGGTAAAGTATACTGTGACCACCATGGAACAATGAACATCCATGGAAACTTCCAATACTCATGTAAGCTCAAATTCAAAGACCACACGCTCCTGGACCGCAATCCTAGGCAGGTTAGAAGATAAGTTGCACAAGGGAATGTATATTATCTTCTGAAAAAATTTCTGGTGCCTGCTATCTATCTAACTATAGGGCACAGGTGCACGGCTTTGTTGAGGATGTTACGGGAGTTAAAGTTGCTACATTGCTTGGTAAATGGGATGATCATATGCATTACGTTAATGGATATGATGCTTCCAAGATCAAGGTTTCTGTTATACCCCGTGATGCATCTTTGTTATGGAAAAAGAACGATCCTCCTGCAAACCCTACACGGTATAACCTGACATCATTTGCAATTACACTAAATGAATTGACCCCTGGATTAATGGTAAGTGTTAGCATCAAATGCTGGATGCTTACAAGATCATATTATGTATCATTTTGAAGTTCTAACCAGAATTTTTTAATTATGAATTAAGGAGAAACTCCCACCTACAGATTCGAGACTAAGACCAGACCAACGGTATCTTGAAAATGGAGAATATGAGAAGGCAAATCAAGAAAAGCTGCGCCTAGAGAAGAGGCAACGAATGGTAAATCTTCTCCCTTTTTTTATCAGCTTTTGTAGACTGCCATATTGGTTCGCTTTGTATTCCTAGGAGCTTGATCTCTAAACTTTCTTCATGGCTCTAGCCATCCTTAGATTTAAAAAAAAAATACTATATGCTATAAAAATTTCACTCTTAAATTCTCTCATTGAGATTTATATTATGGAATTTTTGTGTGTCATTTCAAATTCTAATTCCACCATTGATCATCAGGATAGTGCTTGAGATTTCAATAGTATTGGCCATGGTTTATATTTAACAATTTTCTTTAAATAAAGATATAGTACCAATATCTGTTTAGTTAATCAATTCGGAAGCTTTAAGAAAACATGAGTTGACACCACCAACAACTCCTGTATAACAAAGAAGAACTTGCATCAACCCTTCTGAATTCTGGACAGCAATGAGTTATCATCATTTTTATATTAATAAATGAGTAGACATAATTGGCAATCCCATTGAATATTGAGGATCAACTAAACTCTTTGATCTTCTTGTTCGAGAGTCCCATGGGACTGACTAATTTCGTCCTTCTCATTTTGTTCCACCACCATTGTTTCTTACACAGTCGACAAAACTTCAAGAGGATGGATGGAAGCCCAGGTGGTTCAGGAGGGAGAATGAACAAGGAACTTACCGTTATGTTGGAGGATATTGGGAAGCTAGGGAGCAGACGCGGTGGGAAGGATGCCCAAATATTTTTGGTGAATTTTCAAATTTCAACGACAAACTCTGAAATTTCACATGGTTAGGTGAGTTTTACTTGCATGGTTTCTAGAAGGAGAAATTATTAGGTGCGGAGTCTGGACGAGAGCTACGTCCGGACATCCACTTAAAATGTGGTATGTGGAGTGTGCTTTACTTGCCCTTTAGTTGCGCTTTGACTGCTCTTTTGTTGCGCTTTTTTATTTCGCTTTACCTGAGCTTTGGCTTAAAGTTCCGCGGACACATTAAATATATAAAGTAAAAAAATATATCCAATTGAATATCCACGTGTCAATATTTTATTGGAGTCCGAACATATCTATACATCTGGATTCCGCACCTAATAATTTCACTTCTGGAAGAGCCACCACATGCATGGAATTTTACTTCGATACAACTGCAGATAATTGAAGTATCCACATTGATTTTACACACTTTCACTTGATTTCTAAATGCAGATTGACTTTGGGCAGAGGAATTACATGGAAGTTATTGTTATGTATAATTTATCTAATTATTTTTTAATTGACTGCGAGTTATGAAGCTCAAAATGTCAATAGGGCATATTGTAAGCACTTAGTATAAAGGTAGTAGCTGCTTCAATTTTCTGTAATTGATTATTAATTTTTGTGCATCCCCTTCTATTCAAATTTCTATTGTGCATTCATACCACCCCAGCTTTTCTTCATGAGCTACGTAATTTATCTTGTTGCCATCATTACCACTTACAGCTGAGTTTGATTACATGATCACACATAGCTTCTAAAGATTTTTCTTGGGAAGTGGTTTTCTTTACCTGAAAATTATGGCTTAGTGATTTTTAAGTATTAATCAGTTAGAAATTTAAGGTTTAGTTTGGGACAATTTTCTTCTTGCTTTTTAAAACTTATTTTTTTAAGTTAAAATATTAAGGTTTTTTATTAAAAAGTTTATTTAAAAAATAGAAAAAAAAAAAAGTTGTCATAAATGAAACTTTAATGTTTTTTTAATACATTTTTCATGAATTCAATCCAAACTTTCATTGTCTAAGGAAGTTCAAGCTCATATAATGGAACTTAAAAATCATGATGAACAGTGTTAATTAAAGAATTTAGGGCAAGAAAGGGAGTGAGAGCCTTTTGTTTTTCTTACTCAATTTCATCATTATTTAGGAAAACCTAATAGCAACAATTTAAGCTAAATAACATTTTGACTGAGCATATTCTATATCATGATTAACAAAGAAGAAAATACAAACTGATCCATGGGTATATTATATCTTCCTCTAGAGCAAGAGTTTTTCTGTTGTGAAAAAAAAAATATATTTCATATAGATTTTATGTGAAGAGATGGGAAAAGAGATTTAGTGAATAAAACCTATTGATCTTATCAAGACAAATGTAGGAAACCGCATCAAAGCTTTCATATTTAAAATTTATGGTATTTACATGCAAAGCACACAAAACTTTGGAAGACATTTATATAACCTAAACTTCCCTATTTGTTGACATAACACTTAAGACTTTAAATAACAATGAAAATAACACTTTTCACTTGATGTTGTTGAGATCCTGATCCATGAAACCTCTAAATCCTATAGAATTTTCAATTATGTTTCTTCTCTTTTTTGCAGTAAAATCCCAAATTTAGTGAATCTTGGCATGAGCAGATTTAATTTAAATCCACAATTTCATGAACTAGTCTTTGTTGGCGAGAGATGAGGAGTAAACACCGCAATGATGAAACAAGCAAGAAAGTTAAAGCAGTGAAAAAGTAAAAGATATTAGAATTTAACATGAAAAAATTCAAAATAGGGAAAAAGCATCAGAGTCACACCACACCAAGAAATTTACTATGAAAATTGGGAGATAAGTATAGATGTCTCTTCTCTCTCTCTCTTTCCTTGCTTTTTTTCTCACATACACTTTTCTCACACTTGCCCTCATAAAAAATACAAAGAGAAAGCAATGTAAATAACCCCAAGGGACGAAACCCTTCAGAAAAACGAGAAAAAAACTATACATTTTGTCTTGCAGCATTGTGGCACCAACTTGGGTGTTTCTACGCTCAAGTCTCTGTCTTGCACCCTGCGGTGCCATATCTAGGCGCTCAAGCTTCTATCTTGCACCGCTACGACGTCATATCTAGGCTGTTGTGGTGCTCCTATCTCTGTCATTCAGAGGCTGGGCTTCTTGAGAACACAGCACCGAGTGTCGGGGCATTGTACTAGAATTTTTTTATTTTTTTTTATTTTTTGGCTGGGGGGGAGGTGGGGTTAAACCCTCTAGGGAACACGACAAGCTTTGGGTTTGAGACAACATAATAGCTAGATTGATCAACACAATCAGATTGCGCACATAACATTTTTCTTCACACGTCGCTGCCTTATTCGTCATTGCTCCCATGGTAGGTGATCCTATCGATGCCTTATCCAGCAGGATCCCATGGTGAATTCTTTTTCATACATTTTGTTAACTATGTGCTAGAATATATCAATAGTGAAGTTTACATGTTAAATTTATAAATACGAAAATTTTAGTTGATCCAAGAGAGGGTCGAATTTGATATTTTAAAAATAATATTCTAAATATGCGCTTTTTTTCCCAATACATGAGTAGTTGTATCATTAAGATTTATAAAGTTGAAATAAAATGAATTAAAAGCAAATCAAGTGTTGAAACAATTTTTAGTGGCTCGACTTTACAAGCCTGCATCCATGCTTACTATAATAAGTCATCTCAAATTCTTATAGTTTTTATAATGCCCCTTTCATCATAAGAAAAATGCTTCTATCACCACTTATTTTAAAAAGAATTGTACAATCATCTTAGTTATAAGTAAGGGAACCTCCTTTAAGCCTTTCCTCAAAACTACATAGTAAAGTATAGTATTAAAATAAGTAAATAAAGAACATAATGTTCTAACATAAATCTTATACCATAAAGAGGTGGGATAACACAACTAGAGATTGAAGCAAATTTGCTAGTGCTAGCAAGTTTTTATTCTCTAGGAAGTTTCTTTGGCAACTAAAGATAATTTTGTAATAGGTCTAGGGATTTTCTATGGTGGCTAAATTTGATTTTCAATCATTAAGGTTTGGTTATTGATATGTATGTAGATAGAGTATTAATAAATTTTGAATTAGGGATGCAAATATATTAATAATTCATAAATATATTCAATTATGATGAAGTATCCTAGCTAGTAGAATAAATCTATCTATGACATTAAACTAACTCCCAAATAAATTTATTTAAGTTAAATGAAGAATTAAAATTCAAGTTTATGGGCACCTATAAAATTTTGTGAAGACCCATAAATGGATTTGCATATGTTGAAAGATAAATAGGATACCATGAGGTTCCTTGTTCATGTAGGAGATTTCATGAAAAGAGATAAGACATGACTAACAAGTTTGTATCTCAATTCATGAAAAATACTCATAAAATTTATATAATTAACTTTGAGATTTAAAAAATTAAAACTAAAATGAGCTAGCTTGATCTAAGGGCAATGAATTCATCTTACTCCTATGGCTTAAAATCTGAATTTGTTCACAATGGTTTGATCATCATTAGTGAAGCTTCAACAATAATCATCAAGAACTGTTTTGTACCCATTTAGCACCTATATACTTATCAACCTAAATTAACTTCGCAACTCATCTTAGTTCACGTCAATAAGAATGAAACAACATGAGGTTGTTATAGCGTTTAGATGATTTACCTGGCCAGTGCTTATCTACCTCTAAGATCATTTATAGTGTCTTCATCTAATAGTGATAAAGACAAATAATATGTAGCTCAAGCTTTGGTATATCCTTAATTAGTTTATTGAACTTTCTTCTTTTAAGCTTATTGGAAGTTATGGTTTTTGAATTGAAGCTTAATTGCATGCTAAAAGTTAGTTAGGAACATTACAGAGGATGTTAGTGAAAGTCCAAGAATAAATAGGTAGTAACTGTGACAGCCTAACTCTTAACTATCAATATATTATCCGCTTTGTCCTAAGAGTCTCATATTTTAATCCTATTGGTGTAACTTTCCAGGAGGTCATCCATGCCAAGTTTTCTCTGATATGAAGACTCTTAACTGTGAAATTTTTTAAATTAAACTTCAACCATTACACTAAAAGATGCCTTGATGTTCAAGAGTTTAGCTTATCTTTACTTAAGGTGTTTTACAATCTCTCTCACTTAAATAACTAACATCCTCATCAGCATCTTTATCCTAGAATCATCCACTAGATAGATAAGATTCTAGAGGTGGCCTCTATAAGTTCAAGTGGTGACTCCCATGCACTACGTAGCACTTTATTCCATACAGGGTAAGAGATGACTCCTCCTATGGCATAGAACTTTATCTTGTATGTTACTTAGTTCCCATCTTCTTGTTAGTGTATTACTCTAATATCATTTGTGATAGCCAAACCCTTAACTATCGAGATATTATCCATTTTGGCCTAAGAGCCTCATGATTTTATCCTGGATGAGCATGCTTAACGGTGGAGTTTCTTAAATAAAATTTCAATCATTACACCAAAAGATGACTCGATTTTTAAGAGTTTAGCTTCTTTTTACTTATGCGATTTCACAGTAGCTATGTTTATTGAACAAGGATATCTACATACAATGAATATGTGAACTCATCCTGCCAATGTACAAGCACCTAAGTCATTCAATAACATAAATTCTATTACGGATTGGACAAGATTTTGGATTTGATTGGTCGTAGTATTGCTACCTGGAATATCCAACCATGGTGAATATACCATTACTATTATTGGATTGGGCTCATCATGGATGGTGGAGATTGATCTTAATCATCTTGGACTAGTAGTTGGTGCTATAAAGTCATGCAATTAAGTTTAATCTAGCCAATTGCTTGGATTTGGTCTCAAGTTATATTGGTTTGACTATTTAAGTTTACCCAGTTAGGTTGGCATGACTTGAGTTGACTCCTAATAGTCTTTGTATCAATTTAGGTGGGTTAGAGCTTAATTGGTAGACCTAAGTTAGATAAGCTAAGTAAAGCTAGGCTTGAAGCTTGAATTGGCTTTCTTAAGTCATTAGGAAGTGTTAATCCCTATTGATGAATTCAACTGGTTAATAAATTATTTAACTAAATCTATGGACTAACTTTAGGTCAAGTGAAATTTGTTTAGATTTGAACTAACTCTTCTAGGTTGCTTGGGTGAGGTTAAGTCAACCTTGGTTTGATTAGATCTTCTTAGGTTTACAAAAAATATGTTAGACATCATTACTAGCTTCAATTATCCATGGAAGTACTTGATTGAAAATATAAGCTTCTTATGATCTTATCATATCAAATGGATCTAATATTGCTTAAATTGAATTTGGTATTGCTTTTAACTTGTTTTGACTTAATGCATTCTAATTCAATTTGAGTAGGATGGTCGCCTAAGAGTCTTAGGCACAGTTCCTTCAAAGATTGGGTGAATCAAAGGTTAAACTAACCTAAATAATATATAAGTTTCATATGATTTGACTAATTATCAATTTTCAGTGGTTTACCTTGATTTGACTAAGATTACCTTGCATAAGGAATCATTTCTAAGGATACCTCGAGAATATAAAGTAAACCTAATGATCTTATGGACATGGTCAACTGGTCATTTACAAACCTATAGGTTTTAATTAAGTTTTATTATTTTTTTGCTCTAATTTTGTAATGAGCTTAGCTTAGATTAATGGCTTATTTCATTGAAAAATTATCCTATAATTGGGTTGCTTAATGTTAAGAGTAAGTTTGAGTTCAATTAAAAACCATCCAAAGGTTGCTTGGACTTAACTTTAAGATAACTTATTTATGGTCAACAGTGTTGGAAACTAATTAATTTTAAACTATATAAAAAAATCATTATATTTCATAAACAAACTTTTAAATCCATTAAACTTATCATATATGCATCATAACCTTGATCATAGTGTTATATTATGCTTAACTCATTCTTTAAGAAGAAAGTGTTTCATTTTTTATTTTAAGTGTTAAAACATATGCATCATCTACATGTACAATACCCAAAAAAATATTTGATAAGATAACCTCTTTTTATCAATAGAACATAATGTAATAAAAATAAAAACTTGTTCATTGACTGATACATCTGAAGATTCATCCAATAAAATTACAAATAATTTATCACCTAAATTATCAATGGTGACATTTAAAGTTTATTAACTACTTATATATATATACATTCTTTTGAAATAGAAATATATATCATTTTTTGCCAAAAAAAGTAAAAACTATATAAAAAATCTTCTAAGAAAGAAACTAATTAATTTTATCATGTCAAATTATACTATGTATATCATTAATTCCAAATTACAATATGCTACAAAATTTTAATAATGTTTTCAGATTTAAAAAATCTCACTGTTTTTTATCATATCACTAACTATAGAAAAATATTACTAAATTAATATTATTCAATCAACACCAACATAAGCAATAGAAAAGACAAACCATTTGAGGATTGTTTATCTGTTTCATAGTATCAATCCAAAGTACCTATGAGATTTGACTCCCTAATCATAAAAGCAAGAGTTTTTTTTAACTTAAAACTATTGCTAATTGGATTGTTTTAGCCTTTGATATTATCTTTCATAATCAAATTGAATTTGTAAGTTTTAATTCTTATTAAAAGAGAAATTCTTAGTCATAATAAGAAGCTCTCATTTAGATGACTAGAGAAGAGAAAGAAAGTGACTCTTCATCTCAATGTCCTTAGTTTATCTTCATAACTAATATACTCAATAATACAGACAAAATAATATATCTATCATTATCTTTAACTTTGTACGAAGAGAAATACTAGATATATCTTTCTTTTAAAGCTTAGTGAAATATTTGATCTGAGAACAATCATAGATAAATGTGAATTTCTTTGAATCACATTAACATAAGTGTTATATTTCTGATTCTAACGTATTTGATCTGTCTTTTAAATTTAATTGTCGCTCAAACTTTTATTACTCTTATAACGCACATGTGATCACACTGAATTCTTCTAAGGGATCATTTGATTCTTCATAATTAGTAAAAACATAATTTTTTGTTCACCATATTATGTTCCAAATGAAATTATTCTTCATTTTCAAAGGATATATATATTGAAGTTCAAAATCAATAATAGTGTCTATCTAAATCCATCTAAATGATATCTTTAAATTTTAATTCATGATTTCAAATTTCAAAAAACCAAAGGAGCCTTAATAGAAATCAAATCTTTTTAGACTTCGTTTGGGACAGCTTTCTTATTTCTTTCTAAAGCAACTTTTTAATACAAAAACTTTTTGAACTAAAAATTTTTATATTAAAAAATTGTCTTAAAAAAACACCAAGAAAGCAGTCCCAAACAAAGCCTTAATTTGCATATGCACCAAATTTACATTAAAATTTCAAGATCCCACCTTGTTTAAACATCGAAATTGGCTGGTTACCATTAATTACAATCGTGTTGCATATAAAAGCCCAGTTGCTTTAACCATTGGGTCCGGCCCATGGACTCTTCCCCTTTGGCCCAAGCTTAGATAGCAAACTGGTGCATGCATCCAATAAGATAAATACTACTAAAAATGTATGCACCCTATAACAATTTCTACAATATCAAGCTTCTCTTGTATATATATAAGCAAAATCTCCATCAAGAGGAACAATCTCCAAATAATAAATTATAATAGGTAGAACTTACACGAATAAAAAAATTCGCCAATAATTAATGATATCGATCTCCAAGAATATCAATAATTAAATTTCGAGCTGATTTGAATATGACTTAAGATTTACTAAATCTTGCGATAAATTAAGTTATATTATGAGTTTGTTTGATCTGATCATAATTTGTAGTCAAATATATAATTTTGAGTAGAAAATACAATTAAGACAAATTTTTAAATAGTCCAGCATAGGTAAATAGGACTATCAAAATCATGTCACATGTCGAGTTCAGGTCCAACCCGAATCCGACCCAGCGTTGTTTGACCCAACCCGACCCATTTTTTGCAAATGGGTCGGTCTTTTTGACCGAAACTAGATCTGTTTCTGGTATGTTTTACTAATTTTTTTTATTTAATTCAATTTATTTAAACCTAAATCAAATTAAGGTAAGATGTACTTCAATCAATTTAAAATAAAACAAGCTTAATTTAATTTGGGCAACATGATTTATTATTTTTTGAAATAGCATTTACTAATTTCATAATAATATTTTAAAACCCTCCCAAATCAATTAATAATATGTCAAATCTGGTTGATTTCGGTTTCCAGGTCAACATAAACCCAACCCAGTTTTATAAATGGGTCGAAATCCCTAACCCAAACTCAATCCAGTTTTGAGCATAAAATACTATTAAGACAAATTTTTTAACCGAGTTCGAATCGGATTTTCGGGTTGTATCAAATATTGACATCCCTTTAAATAAACACACACGTCTGTGTACTTTTTACTATATATCGAACTAACTCGATTCAGTAGGCCCGTCAAAATTCAAATTTGGTCCAAGCCATGTATGGCTCATTAGTCGACACATTTGCTTCAATCCAAGCTATAAAATCAATTTGATTGCCACATATTCTTTGATTCTACAGTGAAATTCATAAGCATAAACAACCCACATCTCCCCCACAACCCTCCAAAACCCTAATTTGTCCTTCTCTCTTAATGCCAGCTATAAATCTTCATTTCCCACCCACAGTTTCACGTGGCTCCTTTTCTCTCTTATTATTCTTCTCTTCAAATTAAATATATTTAGTTAATTACTACCACCTTTTTCCATTTGCATAATCATCCAAAAAAAAAAAAAAAAAATAAATCCAAAAAAAAAAAAAAAAAAATACAACTGGTCCTCAATCAACTTCTCCATGAAAAAATCCTCCTCTTCATTCTATATAAACCAAACACCTCCCATTACTAACTCCCATTCCACTGTTCTTAAGCTACTTAGCACTTGTAAGCAGCACTAGTAAGCTGCTAGCAGCTAGCTAGCTTCATCAAAACTGCATCTTTGCAGCTTGCTAATGGCTACTTCCACCACCAGTTCCCCGGCCCCGGCAGCTCTCTTCTTCACCATCAACCTCCTCTTCTTCTCCATGGTCAGCTCTTGCAGCACTTACCCGACACCGAATCTGCCGATCCCTCCACGCCCGACGGCACCATGCTCGACCCGGCGGCACGCCGCCAAATGCTCTCGCGACGTGGTCAAGCTCGGAGTGTGCGCCGACGCGCTCGGACTCATTAACCTCAACCTTGGCAAGCCACCTAAGGTGCCTTGTTGCACTCTGCTTCAAGGTCTAGCTGACCTGGAGGCTGCCGTTTGCCTTTGCACTGTTCTTAAAGCTAATGTGCTCGGAATACAACTCAATCTGCCAATAAAGCTCAGCTTGCTCCTTAACTACTGTGGAAAGGGCGCCCCCTCTGGCTTCCACTGTGCTTAATTAATTCATGCATCTTGGTTATTAGTCTAGCTTTCTTGTTGATCTTTTAGTTTCTTGTTGCTGCTAGCGGTTAGTGAGCCTGCTGGATAAGCTCTCACTGCATCAACAATGTAATTTTTTTTGTTTTCTTTGATTATCTTTGTTCAAATTAAGGGTTTGTTCTGCTTAATGAAATGTGTGTTGTGAAGTTTTTCTTTATTTATTTATTTTTTAATGTAGAATAATGAGGTTTATATTTTAGAAATTATATTTAAAAATGACAAAAAAATAGAATTGTTATTTAAATAATTAGTAATTATATTCATATATTAAGCTAAATATTTAAGAAAAAATTAATGAATTAAAAAAATTATTAAGGCGATTAGCAATACCGAGAAAATCGCGAACATTGCATTCCCGGGTTTCGCTCCGGGTCCAGTCGTCGGGCCGCGCGGTAAAGAGTAAGAGCACGTGGCGACATGTTATTGGCGGCCGAACGTACCTCTACGTCAGGTCAGAGGACGTAATAATTGTTCCTCTTGCACAGCTCACCTTGGTTTGTTGGTTGAGAGTTTAGGCTTCCAACTAAGAGGTTTTAGCTTCGAGTCTTTGTGTATGCGTTGTGTGTGTGAATTTGTCTTAAATGACCTAAATGTCTCAAAAACAAAAACAAAAAACAAAAAACAAACATAAAACCTCTTTTCTATAAGAAATTCTAACAAAGCGATACCGATAAAATTGATGTTTTTCCCAAAAACACAAAAAAAAAGATGAATTCTATTACAAAATATACCATCTTAATTTCTACAGGCGTAATTCTCTGTGAGTGACAATTAATTTAATTAAGAAAAATCTTTATTTGCTATAATATTTTAAATTTAATTTTTATTTATATTAAATTTATGATTTTACATTCACTATTTAAAAAAAAAAACTTTTTTTCTATTTTAATTTGTCTGGAACTGTTGTCGCATTTTATTAAATTCGCTATTAAGTTACTATGGTGAAAGTAAGATATTCTAGTTGCAAAAAATAGATTTTTACTGTAGAAATTTCTAAAAATCAATGATAAAGTAGAAAAGTATTAGTCAAATAAAATTATGTCTTCCTTTTAGACAGCTTTCTCATTACTTTCAAAAATAACTTTTTAGTATAAAAATTTCTAATTCATGAAATTTTTTAGTTGAAAATGTATTTAGAAAGCAATTTGAAACCAAGCCTATGGTTAATATCTGAAAATCAAAGTAACAAAAACTATCACAAATAGACTTTTAGGCTTCGTTTAAGACGACTTTCTTATTGCTTCTTAAAACAGTTTTTTAGTAAAAAAAAATTAATTTTTTACTAAAAAACTGCTTTAATAAACTGTAAAAAGTCGTCCCAAACGAAGCCTTAATATGGTGTAGTATTTGAGCTACATGTGTTTTATGGTAATCTAATGAACTCTAAATTTGATTCAAACTGAAGTAAAAACAATAAGTACACGTGTTTTTTTTTATTAAGTGGAATTACATTAGCAACATTTTAAATTTATAACATTTATGTTATTTTATTAACTATTAAAGTTTTTATTCACATATGTTATAATTAAACTTTTAAAATCTTAATAAAAATAAAAATATGAATTTTGATATTTATGTGAGAGTTTAAAATATAAAAAATATGTAATAATTTCCCTTCTTATTATTTGAGATGGATTTATATGTAGATATTAATTTGACTTAATAATTAAGTTGGATATATTTGATTTAATTTCAAATAAAAAATATGTGAAAATTGCATTAAATAGGATAATAAAATGTATTATTTGTCATGCCAAATGTCATTTTTGTTGTGTTAATTGCTATTTTTTTAAACTTTGGAAGCCCTTAAATATTGTTTTTATGTTTCAAAATTTATATATATATATGATGTGTGTTTGAATTTATTAAAATGTCTAAAAAAATATATTGACTTATTAGTTGAATATTAGTAAAAAATGAAAAATGTCCCTAAAAGATTCTTGCCGGTATATCCCAAACACTACCAAAAAAATGCAAGGGATGTCAATTCAAATTCTTGAGCTGGATTTGGAAATGTTTAAAAAGTGATTTGATATGAATGAAAGTGATTTTGATTTGAAGTAAAAAGAGATAAAAAAAGATTTCAATGCATGTCTTCCAAAATATATTGATGATTTATTTAAAAAAATTAGAATTCAAGCTCTAATTAAATTTTTATGTATTTAAAAATTATTAGATTTATCTATTTTACATATTTATAGATTGAAACTATAATTTATTTTTTCTTTTAAATGTGATTTTTTCAAATTTTGATAAATTTCATCCGTGTAACTTTTGATATGTTGTCGGTATAATTATTCTAAACATTTTGAGTATTTATACAAGATTTTTTTGTTGGGTAATTTTGAAAAGCATCAATTTTTATCAATTCAAATTTCATTTTGACATATGAAAATAATCATTTAGTTCAGTTAAAGCTTCAGAATGTTATTATATACAATCTCTCTTAATGTGATAGAATTCTGAAAATTATAATTTTGACTAATGTAGAACACCAGGTGAAAAATTATTTTGACATGTGTTAGATCATTTTTGTATAATTATACAATAACACTTTAACTACACAATAAGATTTTTGTATAATTATTTTGACAGGTGTTGGGAAATTATTTTGACTGCTGTTAGAGTATTTTTTGTATAATTATACAATAACATAGGGAAATTAAAATTTTTGTACTAAAAAGTTGTTTTAAGTAACAGTAACAAAGTAGTTCCAAGGCTTTGTTTGGGACGACTTTCTTCTTGCTTTCTAAAACAACTTTTTAATACAAAAGTTTTTTTACCTTGAAATTTTTGTACTAGAAAACAGTTTTAGAAAGCAATATGAAAGGTATCTGAAATGAAGCCCATGGCCTTCATAAACTCACAAGATGTAAACAAAAAAATTATTTATATTTATGGTTCCCAAAAAACCATAACTAACACTAATCATAAAATCTATAATCAAACAAAATTGTAAAGAATCTACTCCAAAGAAACTATGAATGATCAAGATATTTTCTCAAATAGCACCTTGATGTAGAAATCTTGTATCGCAAGATCTGGATATGATACAGAGAGAGAAAGCATAGAGATTGTAGAGTCAAGAAGAACAGAGAGAATATTGTATATTATTCATATTCAAGTTGATACAGATGTACACTATATAAAGACATGAGGACAACGCTACACCAAAGCTACAAAGTATAAAATAACTTTATTGTTTTACATGTTGCTGTTCTAACACTTGAGACATGAATGCAGCATGCAAGGCCGGGTTGAGCTAAGGAGCAACGATAGAGAAAGGTAGCCAAACGATGAGGAGCAGAGCGGTGAAGAGGAGCCGTTGTGGCAACGGTAAGAAGCAATGCAAAGAAGATAAACGACAATAAAGAGTGCTGAGGCTGTAATGAGGATCAGAGCGACTGATCCAATAGGCCAGGAGATTGTCGAAGCTCGCGGTTGGGAGTGTCATTGGAGGGGCAAATTATTAAGTCCGGTGTTCGGATTCGTCCGGACACTAATATAGATGTGTCATGTCACCCAAATACATCGCATCTCTGTGCATTTGGATGATGTGATGTGTCTGGATTGGATGTCCGGACGTCTGGTGACCGGATGTAATAATTCTCCCATTGGAGGCCGGCCACTGTTCAATGAGGCCGTTCACGACGAGGAGAAGCGCCGATTTGTGTAGTCACTACAGCAGGAGAAGGAAAGGGAGAATCGGAAGACATGAGGGGATGAGCTACATTATTTTTGGCCATTTGATCCTTCAACAAGAGGAGCAATTATCATAATAAATCAATTGTACTTAGGGGTGTAAACAAGTCCAGTCGAGCTCGTGAGTCAAATATCGAGCTAGAATCACGACACAAAAACGAGCTCATCGAGCCGCTCAATTTCAGTTTCCCGCATGCCATTCGCAGTATCCCACCTGGTTTCTCGACCAGCAGGCCAGCGACACTTCAGATGCCCGAGTCTAGGCCCTCGTCCGCACGAGAGATTATTAGGTGCGGAGTGCAGACGGGAAGAACTGTCCGCACAAGTCTTATTCCGCGCTAGGTACCGGCACTCTGTACCGTTGGATACCGCTGAGTATCACTAAGTACCTATGTTTGTGCGGTCCGCACACAGTATGTTGTTTTTTCCCGTGGATAAAAAATGGTGTCTTGCGTTTGTGGTTTTCTTTTGTATAAAACATTTAACCCATTGACATTTGACAGCAACTTCTCTTGGAAACATATCCCCATTATTTAATTGTCGCACTATAGCTGCATCTTAACTCTTTATTTTTTGTTTTTTTGTTTTAAAAAAAAACTGATTACAACCATGCATCTATTTCTTTAAGATTTAAATTTAATAAAAATAATAATTACTTAATTTAAAAAAAAAATCTAAAAATTATTCGAGCCATCTTGCGAGCTCACGAGCCGAGCCTCATCAAGCTCTGCTCACAAGCCCATAAATGATTCAAACTCGAGCCGACTCAGCTCCCTTGCACTCCTAATAGTACTCATGTATAATAAGGCAGAATAGTGATTTTATTATTTAATTAACATTTTATTTTTTAATGAAAAATTAAATTAATGCCCAACATAATTAATTATCAATGAAGAACCTTTGCAAATTTTTTCAAAAATAATACTTCATTTACATTGTTGTGTAATTAATGAGCTTACAATTTACCTCATTAAAATAATTATTTAAGTTTCTTCTATGTTGCCCTCTCCATGATGAATTTCGCAAAGGGTGGAGAGTATATGTTCATTATTCTATGGACCATAGTCATAAAATATTAAACTTTTTTGTATTAAATATATAATAACATGATATAAAATAAACAAATTTATAAATAATAATCAGCCAAGTCCCAATAAATAACATAATTAGAAAAAACACTAAAATATTAAAATTTTAGATATTAAATCTATAAATAACATGATATAAAATAAGCACATTTATAAATAATAATCAGCCAATTAGTCCCAACATAACATAATTAGAAAAAAGACCAACTTCTTCTCATTGCAATATTTGCTAAAGACAACAACCCAATTCTAAGAGGAAAATTATTAAGTCCGGACACCAATTTTGATGCGCCACGTCATTCAGATACACTCGGAGTCTATTATATCCGGGTGACGTGGTGTATTTGGATTGGTGTCCGGACGGTCCGGTCACCGGATCGTAATAATTTGCCATTCTAAGGAGACACGATACCCAAACCCTAATACAGAAGCGGGCAGAAATAGCCCGGAGGAGGGTCCTTCCCACAAGCAATGAGGACTTGCAGAGCCAAAGGAATATAAATATTCAAATTCAGCACCTTTAAATCTATCGCAGCACACAGACAAGCCGCCGCTTCCGATTCCAACAACCCTTCAATCACCGGACAGCAATAGATCTCCACTGGCGCTAATCCCACCTGCACTAACCCTCCCAATACATTGAGGCATAGACCTAGCTTCAAAATGTCGAGCGAGCATTTCACCGCCGGCGGCGTAGTGATCGCCGGAATTCCCCCGCCGGAGGCCGGCGGGGGGATGGTGGTTGGTGGTTTTGTAGTGGGGTGGTGGTGGATGGGGTGGGGATGGGCCGGCTGGGAGCAGAAGATGCAGGCGGAGATGGTCGGTGAAGTGGAGAGGAGGAGGAAGAAAGAGAGGGTGAGAGAAAGGTAAGGCATTTTGGTTTTGAGATTTGGATGATTGGAAAGCGACAGAGAAAGGGTGAAAGGTTGTAAGAGTTTATAGAAGAAAGGGTGAGAACTTTGCTTCGATCCGCCTTTAGTAATTGAGCCATAACTAGTGAATATTTTTATATAAAATAAAAAAATATATATATTTTTTAATATGTTTGATTTACATCTAATAAAATAATTGTAATATTTAAAAGATTTATATATTTCACTATGAAATTTTAAAATATATGCATTTGTAACATTTTAATTAAACATTTGATTTAAGAAATAAAATCAAATCAAATCAAAAGGAAACAAATTTTATTTATTTGGGTGTGTTATCATCAAATTATTCAGAATTCAACAAAAAATATGAGATATGTTTCCTACAAGAAAATTCATGGTGATAGTGACATAGGCTTTGTTTGGGATGGGCCTCCCCGATCTCCCCTTTGCCGTGTCTTCTTCCCAAGCCGAGAGAGTGAAAGGGAGATAGGTATAGGTTATATATATATATATATATATATTATTAATAATTAGAAAAAAAATAAAAAATATTTTTTTTTGTAAATATTACAAATTTGATAGTTGTGCATATAAATATTATAAAAATAAAATAATAAGAGAAGACAGAGAGGACGACCCAAGCAGCCACCCGTGAACATTTTTTCCCTGCAAAAGGATATGGTGTTGTGTCGAAGAGCAAGGCATAATTGCATGTGATTCTGTTCTTCTTTCAATTCAGCACAGCACGTGAAGGTCTCAGTTGAATGTCCTGTCGACTATGTATCGCTCATATTTGGCGTTCTTTATACTGTTATTTGGATTTATGTTGTGGTTTTAATGCTGTTGTACTGGAACTCTGGAAGCAAGCTGGCCAGCTTTTTTTTGGCGCAAATGTTCGTATGAACTGAGAAATTATTATGTTCAGAGTCCGAATATAGATTTACGTTCATATATATGGGTATACATAATATGTATAAAAGTACATAGTGTATTTTTTATATAATATGTATACTCATAATTCATATTTAACTCTATGTCCGGACTCAACACATAATAATTTTTCGTATGGATTTGTGAAAGATATGACGGAATGCAGATCAAGAAAGAAAAGCACAGGAGAAGCAAGAAAAGGTGAACAGAAAAGCAATTTCTATATTCATGTTAAGATAGTACATACACTATATATAGACATATTAAATAACAGAAAGTATGTGTGTTCAATGTAAGTATTACACGTGGATTATTGAGAGGCGGAATTAATGGATGACGTGTCTAAATGGCCCCCTCAAGTTGGTGGATCCGAAGGTTTCATCAGCTTGCTGGCGAGGATTTTGAATCGAGGTAACGGAAGCGCTTTAGTAAGCAGATCAGCTAGCTGGTCCTTGGTGGAGCTTTAAAGAACTTGAATAGTTTTGTCCTTAATGCAGTTGCAGATGTAATGACAATCGGCCTCGATGTGCTTTATTCGTGCATGAAAAACTGGATTGTTTGCCAAAGCTATAGCAGAAGTGTTGTCGCAGAATAGAGATGTGCGGCGGGTTATGGGCAATTGAGTTCTTGAAGTAAGCGACGAATCCATGTTATTTCAGCTGCCGCAGAGGCAAGTGCCTGGTACTCAGCTTTAATGAATGATCGAGTGACTGCATTTTGTTTATGACGCTCCAAGATATGAGTGAGGAGCCAAGAAAATTGCAATAGCTCGATATGGATTTCCGATCAGCAGTATCACCAGCCCAGTCAGAGTTGGCGTAGGAGTGGAGTATAGGCTTGTATTGGAATAGCGGAAGATGTACGGATAGCCTGAATACCCAAGAACTGCGAGAGGGATCCAAGGTCACGCATGGTAAATGTTGATTTTAAGTTGTTGAGTAAAGTCTTGATGGCTTTGGAACAGTTGCCGGTGAGTAGGATGTCATCGACGTAAATTAAGAAGTACATTTGGATGCCATTGTTGTTGTAGATGAGGAGAGATGGGTCTGATGAGCTGAATCTGAAGCCGAGAGTTTGAAGATGTGCAGATAGCGTTGCAAATCATTTGTGCGGAGATTGTTTGAGGTCGTAAAGCACCTTTTTCATACGGCAGACATAGTCAGGATGAATGTTATCGATGAACTCGATAGGTTTGCGTCATGTGAACCATATGACTAAGAGTGTCGTGGAGGAAGGCGTTTGAGACATCTAGTTGGTGAAGTGGCCATGAGTGGTGTAAGGCAATCACACATTAAGCATTTTGGCAACTAGACTAAATGTTTATGTGTAGTCGAGACCGTGTTCTTGATTGAAGCCTTGTGCGACGAGTCTGGCCTTGTATCTTGCGATGGATCCGTCGGCAAGGAACTTGTTATGGAATGCCCATTTGCACCCGAGGACATTTTGGTTGGGATTAGGAGGGACAAGATCCCATGCCAGGTGCCTTGGGACTGAAGGGCTTGGACTTCTTGAGACATGGCAGTACGCCAGTGATGGGAGCACACAGCTTCTTTGTAAATGGTGGGGTCGGGGTCAGAAATGGAGTGTAGGAGACTGAAAATGTTCTTGGGTTTTGAGTGATCGATTTTAGACCTTGTTTGCATTGTGTGAGTAGGATGTGTAGTAGGTGACGGGTTGGGCTGAAGGGAAATGATATTTGAGTGAGTGGTGTTATATAGAGGAGAGTTGCTATTATATGTAGTAGGAAGGTTGTTGGGCGATATGTGAGAGGAAGCAGAGTGATTAGACGAAGGGTGAGTGCTATTAGAGGGGGTGGGAACAAAGAGTAAAGGTGGGATGAAAGTTTGGGCTGATTGAGCGGAGTTAGCTTGTGCAGGAGAATTATAAGGAAATATGGCTTCGTAAAAAACAACATGCCGTGAGATATAAATGTGACCAGTTTGAGGATTAAGGCAGTGCTATCCTTTTTGCGAGGAGGTGTGGCCAATGAATACGCAAGATATGGAGAGAGGGGAGAGTTTGGAGTTATTGTATGGGCGAAGCCATGGGTAGCATAAGCAACCAAAAAATTTGAGATGATTGTATGTGGGAGGTTTTTGGTAGAACATTTGATATGGGCTTTTGTTTTTGAGGGACCGGGAAGGCAACCGATTGATGAGGTAGACAAAGGTGTTTAGCGCTTCGACCTAGAAAGATTTGGGAAGGTTAGCTTCAATTAGGAGACTGCGCATAGTCTCTAAAATATGCAGGTGTTTTCTTTCTGCGACGCCATTTTGAGATGGCGTGTGAGGGAAAGTAAATTTATGAAGAATGCCCATGTGCTTGAAGAGAGATTGGAATTTTTTATTTATGAATTCTCCTCCGCCGTCAGATTAGAAGGTTTTGATGTGTTTGTTAAATTGTCTATTAATCATTACCTCAGATTTGTTAGTAAGAGGAAAAATCCAGCAAAATTTGGAATAGTCGTCGATAAAAGAAACATAGTATTTGTAGCCTTGAGCGGTAGGGGAGGGGCCCCAAACGTCGAATGGGATATAGCCCATTAAGGCATTGTCCCTTAAGGAGCAGGCGACTAGTCGTCGAGTCCTGAATTTGAAAACCATGAGCACAAAACTTGATAGTGCAATGGTTATCAGTAGTTAGCCGGTAAATAGAAATGAGATTGAAAGAAAGATTAGGTACGTAGAGGAGATTTTGAAGGTAAAGTTTACCTGTTGGAGTTGGGAGTATACCTTTACCGGAGTGCTGGATGGGGAGTTGGTAGTCATTCCCGAGCGTAATTTGTTGATTGCCGGTGTAAGATCTGCTGGAGTGAAGATTTGAGAAGTCAGACGTTAGCTGGCTGGAGACGCCATTGTCAAGAAACCAATCCGTGGTGTTGTTGGACTCGGAGGGAGTAAACAGAACGACTTTGATAGGTTCTTCGGTGTAGGAAGGATCATGATGGTGCCAACATTTGATTGTTGAGTGTCCGGTTTTGGAGCAAATATGACATATAAGGGTACTGGAGCAGTTCTTGTCTATATGATTGCGGCCGCAATTTGAAGATCATCGACGACTAGAATTGCTCTGCCCGCGACCGCATCCTCGATAGGCGACAAGAGTCATAGCGGGATTGGTAAGATGAAGGTTCTGAAGTTCAGCAGTTGCTTCTTGCGCGATGTTCAATTCTTCGTTGCAAAGAAGTGTGTACAAGTCATCGAGGCTAAGGGGTTGAAGATTTGTGTGGATGGAAGTTTTGAATGCCTGATATTGGGCGGGAAGGCCGTTGAGGGTATAGAAGATCACCTCCTTTGGATCTAAGGGAGAACCGGTTGCAGCTATGGCGCCTATATAGGATTTAATGGCAAGAAGGTATTGGGACATTGACTGATTTTTCATGGAGAGGTGGTGAAGTTCGTTGCGTAGTTGGATGGTGCAGGAGCGAGTATTGGATTGGAGGCACCGAGCAATGGTTTCCCAGATTTTTTTGCAATGGACGAGTGATAAAATTAACGTAGGGTATGATGCTCGGAGATATGACAGAGTAAAGGGCGGCAACGAGGTTTTGATCAAGAAGGTTCCAGGTTTGATAGGAGAGTTCGGTTTCAGATGACGGGGTTAGCGGGGAGGGGCAGATGCAGCTGCCATTTAGAAATCCTTCAAACCCGTTAGCCTTGAAGAGCTTGAAAACTTTGGAGCGCCGGATAGGATAGTTTTCGGCAGTGAGGGTGAGGGAGATGATACCTTTGATATGGCTCATCAAGAATTTGAGCTGTTGTGGGATTGATTGTGCTTCAAGGGAAGTGTCGGAGCTTTGTTGGGCTTCAGATGTGGCTAAGGTAGAGGAAGATGAGGTTTCCATGGAGACCCGAGAAAACAAGAAGGGAAGATGGAAGGATCACGGGGTATCCTGCTCTGATACCATGAAAGCTCTGACGAAATGCATAGCAAGAAAGGAAAGCACAGGAGAAGCAAGAAAAGGTGAATAGAAAAGCAATTTCTATATTCATGTTAAGATAGTACATACACTATATATAGACATATTAAATAATAGAAAGTATGTGTGTCCAATGTAAGTATTACACATG